ATTTGATGTCTCTAGGTACTGTTGTTTTATCACAATGCAAGAAACATAATGTACATTTATTCAGATTCTTCATTATTTAATTTCTTCAAATATAATACATGGCAATAATATTTGATGGCAACAGTTTGAAAAGTGAAATGGACATTGAATGATTCAACACAAAACGAAAACAATAGTCTTTCATGGACAAAGCCCCTTTTGACTAATAAAAGCATAGTGCTATACATAGAGCTACTGAACTTAATAATAAATAAACTATAGTTTTTGAAGGGTTTGGAGTTTGAGTATTTAGCATAAGTTGCTATGATACATATTCAGAGTTGCCAACTCTCCCGACTCCCGATTTTTGACCGCTCTCCCGCCAACTCAATTTACAATATATTTCTCCCGACTTTTTATTATTCTTAATATTTCTCACGATTTTTATGGAACTTGGCTTAATACTTCGTTATATGAAAAAAAAAAAAAAAAAAAAAAAGTGATTTTGGACGTCTGAAAGCAATTGAATTTTCTCTAGATTATATCTAAAATAAAACCTTGCGAATCAGATGAGAATTTCTGCTTTGTGAGTGACAGCATACGTATCCAGAAACGTCGTTCTCCAGTTCTCCAATAGGCATTGAGCTCCACTGCGTGTCATCTGGCATATATTAGCCAATGAGCACAAAGCAAGCTCAAGGCGTTGGCCGTTATTTGGATATTCTTTCGTTATTTCGTTCATCTTGTCCTGAATTGTGAGAGTACACGTGCCTTTGGGAAATAGTTTTAGAAATTATCATCTTTTGTTATTTCTGCGAGAAAGGTGAAATACTCGTGCACACTTCAAAAATCGTACACAGTTGACTTTCCTTCCATTATTTCCTCAAGGAAATGTAATAAATTTGCGATGTGTACCATCTGTCGTTGCGATTTTTCTATTTCCCATGGTGGAAGGGCAGATGTTCTCAAACATGTGCGTACACAAAAACACAAGGACAGCATGAGTTGTTTTGAAAGAAACGAAAAATTAAATTTTTCTTCGGAAACAAAAGACCAAAAAGTGATTAATGCAAAATGTCTGTTTTCCGCCTTGGTAAAATCCTAGTATATGGTGCAGCATTGGCACGATTTTTGAAAATTATTGCCAACACCAAAAATGATCCAAAGAACGTCTATATACTATATACTATGTGTGTATATACATAATATATACTATATTTAACTATATATATTTTGTGAATGATCCGTTTACTACTCATCGTATATGTCCCGTTTTTACTGCTCATCATAAAGTTGCCAAAAGTAGCCAAGTCCCGTGTGCACCAGATATTAGGATTAAACCCTCTGCCTTTTTACTGGAGCACAACCTGCCACTGAATGCATAGTATCAAGCTGCAGCTTTATTTAGAAAAATGTTTCCCGATAGTGAAATCGCAAAGAAATACTCAAGTGCAAGGGCCAAAACAGGTGCAGTTGTTAAAGAAATGAGTTTGAAAAATAAATCTTCAGTTATTGATTGCATTAAAACAGCTCCATTCTGCCTCTGTATGGATGGAATAATACCAATTCAAAACTGTATCCAGTTGTTGTTTCTTTTTTTAATCCAGAGTCTTCAGAAATTGAGTACAGTTTACTTTCTGTTCCCACTTTAGAAGGACATTCGACAGGCTTTAATATAGCACAGCTAATTATTAAAACTTTAAAAGAAAATGCAGTCCCCCTGGATAATTGCTTAGCACTTGGTGCCGATAATGCACCATTAATGGTAGGCTTGGAGACTGGTGTTGCAGGCATCTTAAGAAAGGCAAATTCAGATTTGCAGATTATGAGGTGCACCTGTCACCTCTTAAATTTAGCATTTGAAAAAGGGGCAGCTTCTTTACCAATAAATGTGGATGAACACGTTGTTGATATTTATTATTATCTTGAAAGGAGTTCTAAAAGAAAGGAAAAATTGAAACAGTTCCAACAGCTGCATAATACTGAAATGAGAAAATTTTGAAACATGTGTGTACACACTGGCTGTCTTAAAAGAAATGCTTATCTAGAATCCTCGATCAATGGAACCCACTTCTTGCATTTTTTAAAGAAGTAAATGCTTCGAGAGTTAAGATAAAAGGCTCTATTGAAAGTTATAAAGTACCTAAAGTAAATGGAGATGTAGTTACTACTTTCATTGTTAAAAATAGGTTTGAGAAAAATAAAAAAATTTCTGCATCATTCAGCAATTCAACTGGCAGTTCTCAAAATAATACTGCAAAATATAAGTATAAAGCTAATACAAATTTCTCTCAAAATAAAAAAAATTGCTCAACACACAAAACATTTTCCGATTACTGTAAGTTTATCTTGTGAAGAACGAATATTTATGTTTTTTTCTTTGGACCTTAACAAAGCTTTTTGCTTTTTTTTACAATTCATTTTGTCATCATTCGATGTTCTTAACACAATTCTACAAAGCAGAATTCCATTAATTCATGTTTTGCAATCAATGATTTATGATCTGTTTAAAGACATTTTTTCAAAGTTTGTAAAACCAGTCTGTTTTTGTCTTGTAATTCTATATATGATGTGATTTATGGTGAAATAGAAAATCAGAAGAAAAGATGAAGATTTGGTAATAGGAGCTGCAACTACAAAAGTAGCGGAAAAACTTTCAGAGAAGACAAAAATATTTTTATCTTCATGTTAGAAGTTACTTCTGTCAAGTATGTGATTACATACTACATAAATTTCCAGTCAACGATGAAGTGATTTGCATGCTAAAGTTTTGTGATGTTTCTTTCTGCTCTAGCAATGCATCTTTTCTGATATAAGGTACTTTTTTGAACAGATTTCCTGTGTTACTTTGTTTAGTCATGAAAGATGATGATATTGATGTTGCTACTGATATACTGCATTCGCAATTTTCCAGTTTATAATTAGAAAACTTGGATGAAGTTATAAAATCAGCTACGATTGACACCCAGTGGAGTTTAATTGAAAAACTGAAAGGTGCTGATGAAATTTTAAAATATGGTGAACTGTCTAGAATTATGTTGGCCATCTTGACAGTCCCCATAGTAATGTGGAGTGTAAGAGTATTTTCAGTGTTGTTGCAAAAACAAGGACTAAATTTAGATCTAATATTAGTGATGACACATTAGAAAAACTTTTATTAGTGAAAGCAGGCCTACATGGCAATTGCTATGAACAAAAGTATGAAGTTTCTTAACGAAAGCGAAATCTGCCACTGTTCATAACATTTGTATGAAAACTGATTAAAGTGTCCCCGCCCCCTTTTTTTTTTAAACGATGCAAGTAATAAAAGTGTTTTTCTATGTCTAAGGTATTTTTGCATTGCTTGCATTTAAGACTTAGTAACTATTTAAAGTTAATTCATTATTAAAAACTATATTTTTTTCATTTAAAAAGTCTTTTTAACATTGTGAAAAATCTTCTGATTTCTTAAAAAAATCTCTTGATTTTTGAGTGTCATAGGTTGGCAAGTATGAATACCGATTCAAAACTGTATCCAATTGTTGTTTCTTTTTTTAATCCAGAGTCTTCAAAAATTGAGTGTGGTTAACTTTCTGTTCCCACTTTCAAAGGACACTTGACAGGCTTTAATATAGCACAGCTAATTATTAAAACTTTAAAAGAAAATGCAGGCCCTCTGGATAATTGCTTAGCACTTGGTGCCGATAATGCACCAGTATTGGTAGGCCTGGAAGACTGGTGTTGCCAGGCATCTTTAGAAAGGAAAATTCAGATTTGCAGATTATGAGGTGCACCTGTCACGCTTAAATTTAGCAGTTGAAAAAGGGGCAGCTTCTTTACCAATAAATGTGGATGATTGTTGATATTTATATTATCTTGAGTTCTAAAAATATGGAAAAAACAGTTCCAACAGCTTGCATACAGCAGTTTACAATTAGAAAACTTGGATGAAGTTAAAATCAGCTAGGATTGACACCCAGTGGAGTTTAATTTGAATTGGAAACTGAAAGGTGCTGATGGAATTTTAAAATATAGTGAACTGTCTAGAATTGTGTTTGCCATCTTGACAGTTCCCCATAGTAATGCAGAGTGTGAGAGGATTCTCAGTATTGTTGCGAAAACGGGGACTAAATTTAGATCTAATATTAGTGATGACTCATTAGAAAAACTTTTATTAGCTTAAGCAGGCCTACGTGGCAATTGCTGTGAACAAAATTATGAAGTTTCTTTCTTAAAGAAAGCAAAATCCACCACTGTTTATAACATTTGTACGAAAAACTTTTTTTTTTTAAACGATGCAAGTAATAAAAATGTTTTTTATGTGTAAGGTATTTTTGTGTTGTTAGCATTTAAGAATTAGTTACTATTTAAAGTTAATTCATTATTAAAAACTATATTTTTGTCTTTTTAACATTTAGCAACAAAGCATTTAACAAAAAGTCTTTTTAACATTGTGAAAAATCTCCAGATTTTTGAGTGTCATAGGTTGGCAAGTTTGCATATTATTAGATTAAAGCTAATTCTTATATAGAGTAATGTTTTGTTTATCATCATTTTCTAAATTCCTGTCAGTTTCAGATGAAAATTAGTTACAGGCATAAATGTATAATGTAAAAGAAATAAAGAACAGTTCAACTGAATTCACGCACAAATCAAGGTATTATGATATATTACTGCTGACCATAAGAGTAGTGGCTTCCGCAATGCTTAAAAATATAGTACTATCATTGTGTATCTAATTTCAAATACTGCATTAGTTTGTGGCCATTTTCATGTGTCCTCATTTTTAGTAAACATTTCAGTAATGCTGAAAATAATGGTAAGCCGAATTATAGCCAACGTATTGTAATCATTGTCATTTTTATAGTATCGTTAATACTCATGATTCTAGGGCACCATCATTTTAAGGGTGGAATAATACAGAAATACCAAAAATTTTGACTGTGTAAGGAAATAATTTTTCATTTTTTAAAGCAAATGTTTTTTTTTTTTTTTTTTTGAGTGGCAAATTAAAAAAATTAACAATTTCTTCTTATTTTCAGCTGACAGTCAATTTCTACGTTTAAGGTAAGTTTTTATTTGCTGTTTATTTATTGCTTTCTGGTTTTTATTTCCTTTTAATTTTTTGAACCATTCTGTTTCCACTTTTAGACAATGGATTTATATCTTCCTCAGATCCTAAAATATATTCGTTATCATGCGAATCTTGCTTAAATCAGTGGTTCTCAACCTTTTGACTAACATTTACCATTTAAACAAAAATTGAAAAAGTTTAGTACCACACCATTACATGTTACAATGATTATTTTTCAATTTCTCAATAGAGATATTTAAAAAAAAGTATATATATGTAATAGATACTGTAATAGTAGAACGCAGGAAGGTTGTATCTGTAATGAACAGCTAGCATTTTGATGTCGTAGAATGCTGATATGCCGATTCACTATAAGTAAGCAATTTGGCACGCAAGATATATTTAATTCAACTTTTATTTCCACAAACATGTTGCAGCCACAATCAAGCTGGCACAATAATTGTGCCTATTCCAAGAGGTTTACATTTTTGATAACTGTGCAGCAAGAAAGAAGCAGAAAACAGACAGTAGTCCAGCTAGTCCAAAGCGTTTAAAGCAAGTGCATTATGTAGAGGGTGAAGTCTTAATTCAGACTGAGTTAGTTTCGGTTCTCAATGCATTTTGATTGGATAGTTAATATTGCTGTAAAATTACTATTGGTTGCTTGAGTTTTACTTCTGTTTACATCATCAGAATTATTCAAGAGTCGTATGACATAGATTTTTCTCGAAATGAGGCAGTGCAAAAAGAGGTTACTATTTTTAGAATACAGAAGGGAATTGCTTTTTGCTGCTAATTTAATCTTTTACATATTCTTTATTTTTCTTACATATATATATTGCCATTTTCATAACCTATTGGCTATTTGTATTAAAAATGCACACATAAAAAATATTAAAAATTGATTATTCTTTTACTTATCAAAATTTAATTTATAATACTTTAATTTGAAACTTTAGTGTGAAATTTGGGCCTGTTTAGAAGAGATCAGCATCTTTGTCTGGTCTAATTTCACTTAGTTTTAACCTAAAACTAGGATCCACTTTTAATTTCCTTCTGTATTTTCTGTAGAGTACAAAGTTGGTAATCCGGACGTCCATTATCTGGATTGATGTATAATCTGGACCTCAAAGCTACAAACATTTTTTTTTTTTTTTTTTTTTTTTTGTATTCTTTACGCATGCACGTTTAATGTATAACGGATGGTATAATAGGCTAAAATTATCTTTACTGATTCTAAGGCATTTCAGTTAATGTTGCAGATTGCGCTGTTTCTTAATCTTCTGATTAGATTCGGCTTATTATATTTTGCAGACGGTTAGAGCAGTTTTATAAAAATTAAGCTTGAACTTTCGATTATGTCAAAAAGAGTTTCCAATTTAGGAGCTGCCAAAGAATCTACAAAGCGAAAGCATTTTTTGATGTCCATGAAACAAAAAAAGGAATTGCTGCAAAAAAATGGATAAAGGCATATCCGTCTCAAAATTATGCGAGGAGTTATGACATTGGAAAGTCAACTGTATATGACTTAAGCAAAAAGAAAAAGTAACAATGCCCCAATCATGAATCAAATCAATTGACGGATGGCAAAATCTGTAGCATGGTTCTAGATCCAGAAAATACCGCTTCCAATAGTGAAGAAAGTGACAGAGAGGTTACTGAAAACAAAAAAATTTCATTTGACAAGTTAGTCTGTATTCTCAACACAGCAATTACAGGACTTGAATGGTGGAACTTTGCAACTGAACAAGAAATTATGTCAGTTTATAGAATTAAAGAGAAAGTATTAGCACAAAAAACAAAGCAACTTAAACAACTTACATTGAAAGAAATGTTTAATAAAGTAAACAAATAAATATTAAGCTCTTATTATTATTATTTTAATTTTGATACCCTTTACATCATAATTGCTCTTTATTTCATAAATTACGGTTTCATATTTTTAATTGCATAATTTCTGCATGCCATATTTAAATTGATGATCTATAATCCGGAATTGGCGAAGTCCCCACGAGTCCGGATTATGGACTTTGTACTGTATTTATTTTTCAAATATAACATGGAAGAAAATTCTTGTGTTCGAACAAATAGGTTGTGCAGAAACATAATAAAAATTTAATAGCTTTTTTTGAAATGCCTTTAAATTTTTTTTTTTTTTTTTTTTTTTTTTTTTTTTTTTTTTTTTTTTTTTTTTTGGGGGGGGGGGTAGTTAAAAGGTAACAAGTGTGTTATTTTTGAAATCTTCAGTGAGAGTTCAATCACAGAAAATTTCTATCAGTTATTCTTTTTCTTCAGGTTTTTTTCAGGCAAACTTTCCAGGTACATTTGAACAAAATGGATTTCTAATCCAATTTTCTTTTTCAGAATCCTCGAGAAAATACATGTTGAAACTATTTATCAATGAAAAACAATGATTGTAATGTCTGGTGCTAATTCTTTTATTTACTTTCAGTTAGAAGTCTTTCTAAAAGTGGTTAAAAGTTTAAAATATTATTATACAAATCTTTATTAGCTCGAGGTTTTTTTTATCATTCTTTGCATTTATTTTACCTCCAATGGTAAATAAACTAATGCTTTGAACTTCTAACCATAAATTTAATTCATTTATCTTTTCAAAAATATCAGCTAAATATGCTAAATGTGCCAACCATAATTCACTAAATGAACATTTTTGCAATTCAAATTTCAAATCACAGATTAAAACTTAAATTTCTGATCAAAAATACGATTTAAAACTTTGCCTGTAGATAATCACCTTACTTCGGAATGTAGCAAAAGCGTTTCATGTTCACCATCCCATCTCTTGGCATAAAATCGGAAATATTCTTAAATTTAGCTTGGCTTTTAATAAAATTAACACTTTTCACAGCTTGATCCGAAACGATTTTCAGGGACTGTTTTTGCTTCATGGTGAATGGTAGGTAAATTTAGTTTCAGGTGTGATTTTTCTTTATTTGAGAAATAACACTGGAATGTTTTCTTGTTAGAGCCCAAGCTCCATCACTGCATAAGGTAATGCACTTATTCCAAGAAATATCAATCTCAGTTGCTCTATCATGGAGTTACAAATGAATACTCTTCGGCAATTCATTTATCTTCTTTGAAACATGTATAAACTAATAATTGAACAAAGTTTATTATATCAATACTTTCACGCATTTGCATCACGAAATACACACTGTTTTATTTTTTGAATGTCTCTTTTGCCATTTCATGAATTCGTCAACTTGCTGTATCATTTGATAACAGAATATTAAGGTCATTATCTGCTTTTTCGTTCAATACTGTTGAAACCTTTAGCTGCTGGTAATATAAGGTTTTCTCTAATAATGTGAGCCTGCACACTCTTGGCAGTTCTTAGGCTTACTAGGTAACTAGCTTCCAAAGCTTTTTCATTTAAAGTGACAAATCCTTTCATTATTTTTTTTTTTACTATTTTTGAATTCCGATAATTTCCTCTTGAAATATGCTTCAGATTTATCCTTTAAATTTGGCATACTTAGCTTCAAGATGTCTTTTACGAAACGCTGATTTCATACTTTGATTGGATAATAGTTCACCACAAATAAAATGATAAATAACTTTCACTATATTTGTTATAAATAATTTTTCTTTTCAGTATTCTTTGTGCTATCCTGGATCCATTGCCTGTGAATCATAACTTTTCTGCTTAGTCAGTCTTTTCCATTTTGAAAGTCTAGGTTTGTTTCATTATTTTTCACAAATATTGAAATGCACAATATATTACAAACGATGATATTCCCAAATCAAAAAATAAGGAGTACAAGGCAACAAGAAGGACAAAATACCTGCTTTTAATTCTAATTGAAAATAGAGAGCAATATGAGCCCAGAAATAGTTGCGACATAAAATGCAGACATGCTAATAAATCGATCAACTCTAAAAGAATGAATCAGATACTATTATCTTATTATAGGAACTTGTTTTTGTTTCCTATTAAATACAACATCTATTTCTATTACTCCTTTTAAAAACATCATTTATGACAAATTTTGTAATGTCTATGGCAAAAGGAATATTTGTGAGTGTAACAAGAGATTACTTCACTAAAGTCTGAGGGGCTCAAAGCTCAAATCGCATAAATTTGCAAAACTTAGAGAAAAAAACAGGATGTTAGTGTATTTAATTTCTGAATTTAATAGTTAAAAATATTTTGTTTCATCGCATAGAACCTAGTTTTGTCTTGCATACTACCACTGGTTGAAAATCGCTGCTCTAAATTATTCTGAACAATGCCATTGTTTTTATTAGTGCACATTTTAGTGAAAGGATTTTTCTTTTTACAATATGATAGGGATAAATAATAAAATTTAATCTGTATTCTGCTACTTTTCAATTAATTAATATTATTAATAAATAAGTTAAACACTTTGGTCACTGTTGTCACCAATTAGTACACAAATGCTAGCTTGAATTGTTAAACATTAAGATTTTAGTAGGTATATTGCGACACATTTTTAAGATTAAAAAGTTGATTATATATATATGTATATATATATATATATATATATATAATATTTTATATATATATATATATATATATCTATATATATATTATGTATATATGATATATAATATATATAATATATTATATATTTATATATGTATATATATATATTACTGAAATTGGCCACGCCTATTTTGAATTATCAGCTGTTATTCTGTTCTGCAATTACATGATTTACGTCGGTCGCGGACACTTAGCCGACAGGACACTTAACTGACAAGACATTTAGCCGACAGGGACACTTAGCCGACATGGACATTTAGCCGACAGGACAGTTAGCCGACAGGGACACTTAGCCGACAGGGACACTTAGCCGACAGGGACACTTAGCCGACAGGACACTTAGCCGACAGGACACTTAGCCGACAGGACACTTAGCCGACAGGACACTTAGCCGACAGGACACTTAGCCGACAGGACACTTAACCGACACGGACACTTAACCGACAGGTCATTTAGCCGACAGGACATTTAGCCGACACCGACAGTTAGCCGTCAAGGCATTTAACTACTTGACACTTAACTATCAACACGTTTATTCGACAGGACACAAAGCCGACAATAACGTTTAGCTGGCACATACCCAATAATTATTCAAACTTACTATCAATTACAAATTTCTCGACTACTCCGTAAGTTCAATATTTAAGTTATTTTTTCACTATCAGTAAAATTCATTTTTCGATTCTTAAAGATCTCATATATACTTTTAATTATTGTGTTAATTTAGCATTGTTTGATATGTATCCATGGACTTTATAAGAAATAGACCAATACAAATGGATTTTCTCCCTTGCCTTGGCGTATTGCCAGCTGTCACCTTGACCACATCTGGAGGAGTAGGGATGATTTGCAGAAACTTAACAATAGTTGGCTATCGCAGCGCGTATAATTTTCAAGAAAAAGCTGGTGATAGCACTCATTTCACAAATTAGAATTTTTAGATATTTTGATTTTTAAAAATTTAGCATATTTATCAAGCATAATTAACGTTTCAAATAATTATAAAGCTATTGCGTGCTTTCAGGGCTGGATATTTTTTTAGCTTTACCTATGCTGTAAGGAAATTTGTATCTCCTTTTAAAAAATAATATTTTAAATCTGAACTAATAGAAAAATTCAAACAACAATTTTCTCTTACAATTTTTATGCTTTTTATTGGTGTAAATAAGTAAAAAATACTAAAATCGAAAAAATGAATTTTTGAACGTTTTTGGTTAAAATTCTTATTTGTACTGCTTTTTTAAAAGTATGTCTGAATATTATAGCATAATATTCTACAAAGGAGTTTTATTTCAATAATATTTCTAATACATCGTAGGGATTAACACTTTTAACATTTTAATAATTTTTATGCATTTATTCTAATATTAAAAATTGTATTTAACTCTAATAATTAATTGTGCTAGTATTTTATAGTGATTATTTTTTAAATTTATGTCTAGTTCTGCAAAAGTTTTCTTATTTATTGCTAATTTATTTTATTAACCGAAAGGGGCGGCAGCTCAGAAAAGCTATTAGTTTCGTATGTGGTTTACTTGCGAAGAACATGATGTTTAATAAATAAAGGTAACACGCAAAACGTTACAAAAAACGCTCCTTTGGGCATAATATAAAATCAAATCTGAGTGTTTAGAGAGTTTATCTTTTTTTTCCTCATTACACTCAAAAGTTTATGCTCCGAATTTTATGAATTACTAAAATAAATAATCGTTTTGTAATGTTAATAATTAATGATCATATAATCAAATAAATGATCGTCTTGTTATGCTATAATAATTTTAAAAACTACTGCCTGAAAATGCTCATAAAATCAAAGAAAATTAGCAAATCTTGTTTAATTTTACCTTATTTGTTTCAAAGCATCACATGCTGTCAGTATTACTTAATTTTACTTTATTTGTACACAAAAACAAGTTCATAAGTTTTGCGTTTAGAATTTTTACCGTTTTACTAAAGTAAAGAAATTTATACAAGAATTATGCTGGAAAAGCAGTAAAAAGTGCTTTTATGAGATATGTTAAATCCTTTGCAAAACTGTGACTTTCATAATCTCATCACTTATACAACGTATCACATTTAATAATTAAAAACAATTATGTGATACAAACGCCAGCGGTTTCCGTGTTAAAGTAAGCCAGATCGTCCCTACTCTTTCTTACCGGCATATGTGCGACGCACGCTCCGCCCGCTGGGTTAGTCTATCCCTTATAAGGTCAATGTATGTATCGTGCTGTTTGGTGTATATTGGCGAAATTGATAAAGCGCTGAAATTTATCGTCAGGGAATATGAATGAAATTTCGAAAGGAAAAAAGAATTTTTTTAGCTAAGTACGGCGGTCACTTAATTACATTTTAATGTGAGATCTTCAAAAATTATTCATAAAGCTTCTTCATTTAATCAACTGGGTTCTTTTGAACACTTACACTTCATTAATAATGTTTCTTGTTTATTTAATGATATTAATTTTCCAATCTCGCTCTTCCAAATGCTTTCAAATTTTTAATACCTTTACGTTTCATTACTATTTCACACATCGTGTTACATTCTTTCTCTTACAAAATCGTTTGGCTCTTCCCACTAATGAAATTTTCTTTCCCTGTCATGAAAAATCTGAATAATGCAATAAAAATTATTGTTATTCTTGAATTATACTTTTTATGGAAACATATGGTGGTGAGGGTTAGTTTAGCAAATATATTTTATTTTGTTATTAAAAACAATTAAAAAAAGTGAATTTTTAAGACAAGCAAAGCTATAAATTATTTGCGACCTGTATAATTTGAAGTTCATGCCACCATTCTTAAGATAAAAATTTTGTAACATTTTATTGACCACGCCTCTCGCTTAAAATACTTACTTAGGTTAATGTTTATAGCCCTAAACTAGTGCATAATGTTTAATTTAGCCCTAAACTAGTGCATAATGTTTAATTCAATGTACACCAAACAGCACGATACATATCAAACAATGCTAAATTAACACAATAATAATATGAGATCTTTAAGAATCGAAAAATGAATTTTACTGATAGGTGAAAAAATTACTTAAATATTGAACTTATGGAGTAGTCAAGAAATTTTGTAATTGATAGTTTAAATAATTTTTGGGTATGTGTCAGTTAAACGTCACTGTCGGCTTAGTAACCTGTTGACTAAATGTCTTGACAGGTAAGTGTCCCGTAGCTAAATGTCCTTATGGCTAACTCTTGGGTGTCGGCCAAATGTCCTGTCAGCTAACTGTCCGTGTCGGCTAAGTGTCCTTGTCGACTAAATGTCCTGTCGGCTAACAGTCCGTGTCGGCTAACTGTCCGTGTCGGCTAAATGACCTGTCGGCTAAGTGTCCATGTCGGCTAAATGTTCTGTAGGCTAAGTGTTCGTGTCGGTTAAGTGTCATGGACCTGATTTACATTGCAATTACAGCTACATATATGATAATGTTTTTTGTGCCTACGTCAAATTATTACTATTTTGTCATATAGAATTTTATTTCAAATCTTTGCTGATATAGATGATTATTTTTCAGGTATTTAGGAGATTATCTTTTTGGAGATGATATAGATGCTTTAGCCACACAGGTAAATATTGTCAAAATTTGAGGCCATTTTGAGCTAAAATAATATTAACCCTGGTATAAATTGAGTAGTACCAGTCCATTTTTGAATGTAGACATTTCCATTCTTTATTCAGAAGTAAATGAGCTTATTCCAAGTATGTATTTGTTTGTGCGTAAATAAGTTTTCTTCGTTAATTTCTGTTTTTCTTAACAGTTATTAAATGAAGCTGAAATTTCTGGGCCACCTCCTCTTCCACAAGAACAAATCAAACAACTGCCAATTATAACTGTAACAAAGGAACACGTTGGTAAGCATTTTGAAAAAATTATTCTCTTTCATTGAATGGATACATGCAGTCTGAACCTTCAGTAAATGGACATTCATCGGACAACAGCTTTTGCCTGCTCATGGGGAGTATCCACTAAGTGGGATTGCACTGATCTCTTGGAAAGTTAAACAAGTTGGAATTGGTTTAAGTATTCACTTGGAAAGAAATGGTCAAGGAAACTCAGAGTATCAAATGCTTCAAAAAGTAAAGGAAAAAAAGTTTGAGTTTTTTTTTTTTCTTTTTAACTTTCAGATCACTTGCTTTGTTCAAGTAATAAAATGTTTGTGTGTTAAGTAAAATCCCATCTTGAAAGGAAATGAAAGGTTTTTTTACAAAGTAATTGCATTTTTTGTACAAATTCTTCTTATATCTGACATAGTATTATCAACCCATAGGTTTCTTTTTCAACTTTTGTTAAGCAGTTGCTCATTCTTCGACATATAAATGCCTTTCTGATGTATAAATAGTGTAACTAGATGTTGTTCTATGTAGTTGTTTTCTCCAATCCAGTGTAATTTTTACGTGTTCAGCTTCATTTTATTATGTAAAATATAATAACTGCCAATATCCATTTATTTATTTAATATTAAGTAAAAACATTAACCAGCATAAATACAGTACAAAGTCCTAGATCCGGATATCCAATATCCAGAATGATCTAAAATCCAGACCCCAAAGCCACCAATGAAATTTTTTTTTATGCTTTACCCATGTGCATTTGATTCCCCTCCCCCCCAATAATAAAATATGTGTCGAGTTCCAAATTTGGCACTGAAAAAAATACCTTGTTATTAAAGAAACAATCATTTTAGCGTAAGTTGAGTGATCAATAATTTGGCTTGTTAGCTACATATCTGATTCGTATACACCTCAAACCAAAACATTCTACATACAAATATCCTTGATTTTACACCTACTAATATTCTATATCCCTGATGCCAACCTGATCAATCATTATTTATTTTGCTTTCATCACCACATGTTTATCAACACACGACAACTTGAGTAATGACTCTGCAGCCATGCCTAAGCAATTTTTATATACAGTACAAAATCCGTGATCTAAAATCCTGACCTCAAAACCACCAACAAAATTTTTCTCGTAGGCTTTATGCATGAGCATTTGATTTACCCCTCCGCTCATAATAAAACATCTGGAGAGTCCAGATTCTTAATTTCACTTCGACTCTAAATAAAATACCTTGTTATTGAAGAAACAATCATTTAAAAAATGTTGACGAGGAAAAATTTACCAAAACTTTCTTTCCATGTGCTAAAAATAGATTTTGTTTGATAATACTCATAGACCTAAAGATTACATTTAGATTATAAATACTTCATTATTTCATAACTCGCAATTTCTTATTTTTAATTTATAATTTCTACATGCCATCTTACTAGATTTAAACTGATGATCTATTATGTGGAAAAATCCGAAGTCCCGACGAGTCCGGATTTCAGACTTTGTGCTGTAATATACAAACTTTGTACTGTAATATTTGTTTCAGACTTTGTACTGTAATATAAGAATATGGTAACCTTTTATGCTGACATTTTGCTTGGCAATGATTGCAGATTAAAATTAAATGCATCAAGAAATGTTGATGAAAAATTTAACAAAAATTTCTTTCCATGTGCTAAAAGTACATTTTGTTAATGATACTCATAGGCCAGAAGATTACATTTAGTGCTGTTTGAGTTAAGAATAGATCATTTGTTATTCACAAAAATTCAGAATCAACACCAGAGATCCTATGGCCGCACCAGGTGGCAGAATTTAGGAAAGGCAAAATTTTTTTTAATTTCGAAAAGCACCAAGCAACAAAATTAAGGGATGACCTAATTTTTAGAATTTTAGGGAAAGCACTGGGACCCAAAATTTAGGGGCAGCAACAATTTAGAACTTAGGGAGGCACTTTGTAGCAGAATTCAGGACCCGCAGAGACTGGTTGAGGCAGTAAGATATCTGATGCCGGCCCTCAATAAGCTTTAAGTATATGTGGGAATTTATTTATTCAGGACTCTGACAAGTCTTAAGCATGTGCAAGGAATAGACATAAGTATAATAAATAACTAAACTAATACAATTCAGGCTTAATTTTCTCAGTGTGCGATAGAAGCAAGACAAAATTTAGCGGGACAACTTGTCTTTTGTCGTCAATCTTGTGATACATAGCCAATAATGTATAGTGGACACTATTAAGCTAGGCTGAAATTATACTTTACTGATTCCAAGGAATTTCAGTTAATATAGCAGATTGTGCTATTCCTTAATTTTTTAGGCTGTTATTGCAGCAGTTTTATGAATATGTTTGAACTTTGGATTATGATGTGATACTGCCAACTAATAATTAAATGTAAAAACAGTAATGAGGGGTGTGAATATTAGTGAAGATGTGATATAATCTAATAAATGAAGTGTGCAAATAAGAATGGTTATTAATAGAGTGTATGTACTACAGTCCAACAAACAATGAAATCTAGTTGAAAAATTGCCAATTACTCAAGGCCAATTTATTTGAAGAAATACAGTTCTGTAAAATTTGTGGCTCTTGTTCACAATAACGGTGTGTTCCTTGTGAGAAATTTTCTGACCATAAAAAGTGATTATCTAATTAGGCATGATTACACACCATGCCTGTTCATCAACATAATGTGATTTATGGCATATCCAATATTAAGAGTCTGGGTTGAGGGGATGAAGGCTTTCTAACATAATTTATATACAGCTGAGCAGGTTTTCAAAGCTCTTTGGGAAATGATTTTCAGGCTTACTTAAATGTCATCCAAGTCAATATGTAAATAACACAAAATACTTTGAAGGCCACATCCTTTAATGCACAGTACCACGTATATATTTTTCCGAGATGCATTCTGGGAATGGAATTCTGGAATGTCCTTATATTATTTGAAAAGATTGAAATGAGCTTGTATTGTAATCAACTCGGTGACTCTTTACATTGTCAGATGACTCTTGCAATGGAGATCCTAACGTTCAGAAGTTCTTTCTGACTCTGGATTACTTTGGAAATCTGAAAGTCTTGTTTAAAAATTATAGTATTTTGATCTGTTTACCTTTGCTGTATTCTTTATGGCCTTCCTTTGTCTATCAGTATGTATACTTCTCATCTGTATTTTTCTTTTGTTATTCTTCTCCAAAAGATATAAAATAGTATTTTCTGTGTGCGAAAATGTTCATAACAGGCTTTATTTTTTAATTTTGTAGATAAAGGAGTACAATGTACAGTATGTATGAATGATTTTCATCCAAGAGAAAAAGCAAAATGTCTGCCATGTGAACACTTTTATCATGAAAAATGTATTACTCCCTGGCTTGAAAGGGTAAGTAATGGAAATTTTTAGGTTGATGTATAGTATAATATAAATGCAGTATCTGTCTGTTTTAAATTCTGGGGTGATTTTCAAAATTGCTGTGCAATAGGTTTGGTATTAAGGACCTTTTCATTCTACTTCCTGCATTTTGAATTGTTTTAGAAGGCATGTACATCCTTGTATTATTGTAGTTATAGAAACAAATTTTAAATTGCAATAAGCAGTGCTGAGTTTTAAAAATTTTGCATGTTATGGAATAGCATGTTAATTTTTATTAATTTTATATATACATCACAGAACCAAAAGAATTCTTTACATAATGGTGAAAGCATTAGAACAAGGGTTAACCAGGAGGAATTTCATAGTTTTGGGGTGGAATGCAGTCAGCTTTTCATTAAGCTGTTAAGTATTTAATTTTAGATTATGAATATAAAAAACTTTTATCCAAGATTTGTCATTTATCAATATTTTATACACTTTCTGTTTAATTTATAAAATATGTTAAGAAACCTTCTAAATCTTGATAACTGTATATACAGTCAAAAGTCGTTAATTCGGACACTCATAACCCGGACCTCAAAGCTACAAACTTTCTGCGCATGCGTCACGTTGACGCATGCGCATAAGACCTTTACGGCTGCGAATATGTGTGTGCGCGCGCGCAAAATACATTTATGAATGTGCATTTATTGTATAACGGATGATATAAGCTAAGCTAAAATTATCTAATTCAGTTAATGTTGCAGTGGATTCGGCTTATTATTTTTTGCAGACTGTTAGAGCAATTTTATAAAAGTAAGCTTGAACTTTCGATTATGTCAAATAGAATTTCTGATATATATTTACTAATACGTAAAAGATCTACAAAGCGAAAGTATGTTTCGAAGTCTATTAAACAAAAAGTGGAATTGCTGCAAAAAAATGGATAAAGGCATATCCTTTGTTTATCTAAACTTTATTTATCTTTAACGCGCAATGAATTGGAAGTTGATCTGTCAGCACTATCCTTATCTTCAGGGCAGATGTTTTTATTTTATTTGGCTTATAATTCCTTACTAAATGTAGTATTTCATCTTGATGTACTCCGTCTTTGATATGATTTAAATCAAATTCCTCGTCATTATAATTCGCTTCTGATAGCGAAGAAAGTGACAGAGGTTATTAAAAATGAAAATATTTCGATTGACAAATTAGTCGGTATTCTCGACACAGCAATTATAGGACTTGAACAGCGGGACTTTGTAACTGAACAAGAAATTATGTCTGTTTATAGAATTAAAGAGAATGTATTATCACATAAAAACGAAGCAACTTAAACAACTTACATTGAAAGAAATGTTTAATAAAGTAAACAAATAAATATTAAGCTTTTTTTTTTTTTTTTTTTTTTGTAAATTTTGATACTCTTTAGATCATAATTGCTCTTTATTTTATAAATTACGGTTTCATATATTTAATTTTATAATTTCTGCATGCCATCTTACCATATTTAAACTGATGATCTATAATCAGGAAAAACCGATAATCCGGAATCGCCGAAGTCCCAACGATTCTGGATTAAAGACTTTTGACTGTATTTCTTTTGTGCAGAAATGTCCTTGTTTAAGTGTCACACTCCCTTTGGCTACCAAAGCTCGGCACCACTGCAGTCATAGTGGGCCCCCACTATGTCATCTCTTTTTGTTCCTGCCTCGATAATTGCACTAAAGTAATTCCAATGCCAGTAACTTCAAAAAATTTAACAAACTCACCTAACAACTAAATTAATTGTAAAGTGAAGAAAAAAGAAGAATATTAAACTGTGCTGTTTGTTTTTCCTCTGTGGAAATATACGACAATATTAGCAGTGTGTTTGTAAATTTAGAACAGCTGCATTATCTGTATTTTGAACAAGGGCAAAGCATTATTCTGCATAAGCATTCATTCAAGCATAAGCATTATTCTGCTTCTATGCATATTATTTCTTTAAAGCTAGTTTTGACATATAGACTGAACAATGTTTTTTCTCTCAGCATTTTCTGAATTACTCACAAGGTAAATTATTATAAGCATAAAGGTGTGAAAAACTGAGTTCATGTTAAGTTGAATTTTTACTGTATTTGTGTTCTATTGCAAAATTTCTACTTCTTAAGCTCTGCTACTTTATAGACTGAACAATGTTTTTCCCGTCAGCATTTTCTGAACTACCCACAAGGTAAATTATTGCGTTCTCATGCCTGCAGGCACAATTTTTACTGTACACTAACTAAACTTTCACTCCTATAAGATCATGAGTTTTCCTCATAGGTAGCTAATCAAACAGAATTTTGTTTAATATCGTAATCATGAATCTTGGGACTAATAAATACTTTTTACTGTGGGCCGAAATTTTTTTTAATGTATCAAATGGGGCAGAGCATGACAGATCTTTTGCATTGCTGCTATCATATACAGGATGTGATTGGAAGAAAACGTCCCTACCTGGTAGAATTTTTTAAAATGGGTCCAAATATGCTTAAAATGGATCCTTTTGGTCATCAACTACTGGTTTAGTTTGGTTGGCGCAGATTATGGCAAAGCACACTAGGACTATCAGCCTAAGGGGATGGATGCCTTCATGGGGGACTGTCAAAGGAAAACTGGCTCCCATACACGTTAAACATAGGGATGACAATTAAAGCTGCCGTGCAGCCAGTCCGTTCACCTAGAATCGAACCCAGGTCAGAACTACCAGTGTTTAGCAATTCTGATGCTCAGCTGCTGGTGGTCCCATCAGGTGACTGACATGTATACCGTTTTATTTTCAAATAAAATTTAGGTATAACATGTTCTTTCCCTTAGCTTCTTTTTTTATCAGTATTTTTATCTCAACAATATCCATATTTCATTTTTAATTTCTATCGCTGTCATAGTCGTGTAAATATGTGTATATTAATTGCACTGTAACAATAGATGCACAATTCATGCTGCTGATATCAGTAGTTTGCATATAAAATCAGGTAGGAAAGAGATAAGTGTTGTTGCACAGGGTTTCATAACAAATGGGAAGCAATTAGAAGGTCCGCATTCGGCATAGTGGGCCAAATTTTGCCAACGTCTGTTCTAGAGCTTAGTTTATTTGTATATACATATAAGAAAATATAGTATTTAAATATGCTATGTTGAACTTTCTGAAAATCAAAATTTTATTAGTTTTCATTCAGAGTTGCACCTGGATTGCAGGTATTTGCTGGTTAAGTGGTTGCAGATTATTGGAGTTCTACTGTAATATGGAAGATAAATGAAACAGTAGCATAATTTCAAAATTCTTTATATTTACAGCATCGAACGTGTCCAAATTGTCGAAAGGTAGTGGATATGCAGTCCAGCAGGAGTAGGCGGTCTCGTAGTTGCCCAAGAACTACTGCCAATTCTGGAAGTTCAAATGCAGAAAGCCGAAGATTTTCCGGTTCCACTCATCTAACAGACTTCGTCAGAACCAGTATGAATCCTTTTCGGTTTTTGTAAATTTGTTTACTAGTATAATTGGTATATATAAATTCTTGTATAAAACGAACATTTTAGTGTTTAAAAAGATGCTTTTGTACAGTTTTTGAAGAGTTTATACCACTGTATTAATTTTAAACCTTGAAATATAGATTCCTAAGTTTTGAAGTTTCTGTCTCAGAAAAAATGAGTTACAAAGGTTTAGTTCCCACCTCCCTTGATATTATCTGTCCTTGTTTGAAAGTGTTTTTTGAGATAATTTTGGTATTTAAATGCATGATTTGAATTTTAATTTTTCCAGTGAGGTGTTCAAAAAGTACAAGATCTTTTTATAAAATCATGCATTCAGCATGTGTAGGGAAAAAAAAAATGTAAAATGTAAATTTATTTTTAAATGTGTATTACTGTGCATAGAATTCAATTTGTAAGTGCCAGGTTTTTTTGTTATACAGGATTTATATGCTTAAGGACTTGATTTTGAAAATCATGGTCTGTCAAAAAAGATTATTTTTAATGTATAATGTATGTTTTTCTTAATAAAGATTTAATTTCTGCAAGTACATTTCTGTGTACTTAGAATGAAAATTTTAAAGGCATTATAACTGTAATGTTTTTGATGTAATGATGCATCAGATTTTTTAATCGTTATAAATTTTTGATTCCCCCCCCCTAAAGTTTTTGCTGACTTCATAATTTCATTTCCAATTCATTGAAATTATATTTTTTAATTTAAAAATCTAAATGCATCCCTTTTATAAAATAATTTGATGCTTGCATAAGCATCATATTTTATATATATATATATATAAGGGAAGTATTTATAAGTAATATTTTTCAAAAGGCATTTTGAAATATTTTCGATGCAAAGAAAGCATGTGAACCCTGTAGTAAATAAAGTTTGTTTCATGCAATGGTTAAATTATTTTTTCACTTAAATCAAGGTGCTAATGTCAGCTGTCTAGTATTATGATGTTTCTAACATTGCAGTAAATTGTATTTGAAGTAATGTGTCTTTGTAAACCAAATATTGTGCTGTATATTTTAGAAGCTGTGAGTAATTATATGTTAAAAGGTTTTTTTTTTTTTTTTTTTTTTTTTTTTTTTTTTGAAAAATTGTGTTTTAAAGTAAAAAATTTAGCATTGAGATACAAATAAGGCAATTTCTTTAATTAAATTTAATATTGAAAATTATTCTTGGATCACCTAGTATCTTCCTTTTTTCTTTTTGTTTGACTTAAATAAAATAATCCTGATAATATACAGTGGGTGAAAAATAATTTACTGCCTGAAAATTGCTCATAAATGTATCAGTCATTTGTCAGTAGTGATAAAATAACAGTTTTAATTTGAAAGAAGGAATTGAGGTATGCCTGTAATGTTAAAAATTTGAGTGTTCTGGGATATTGCCTATTTGTTTCTGTTTATTTTCTTGGAAATAACTTCCAACTGATTCCTTGTTGAAAATTAAGAGAGCATCATTGCCAGCTGTTTACTGTAGTGATTCAAATTAAAACATGAACATCATGATCTTCTTTGTTCTTCACCGCTTGTAATCATTTCAGGATAAAATTTGAAGACTTATTTTTATTTATTCAAGGACTGCAGTGAATGATGGTCAATCTGTGCTCATTCAACTCAGAAATTGACATTTAATTTAATAGACTCTTCCATGATAAGTCACAGAACCCATGGAAACTATTTTGTACTCACCTTTATCATAGCAACATAGTCAGAATCCAAAAGTTATCTGTTAAGCTGTTCATGGACAATAAGTGAAATGAAATGGGTTAGTATCTTTATTTTGAGTTAAAGATGTTCCAAGATATCCATCTGGCAAAGCATGCGGAATGTTTGTTCTTCAGTCAGCTGGTAGATAAGAAGATGGTGTCTGTTCAAGACATGCCTCATCTTGGGAATTTTTGCACACCATTAATACAGGCCATGATAATTCACTTAATGTCCTAAAATGTGGTTTTCAAAGATGATGGAATATGTGTAAACATTGAGTAAAAAATGTCCTGGGACACCATCTTTCATAAAGACATGATCATTGAATTGTTGTAATTGAACATGGTAGCCATATCACAAAATGAAATCATTTCAGTTCAACCCCTGTAAGTATCACCATTTTATTTTATTTTATTTTATTTTTTTTTTTTCCCAGTTAAATAGAGTAAATAATGTAGTAGATAGTAGATAATTTAAAAAGTAATTTTCAATAGGGAACTGTTATCACTTACCAGGTAGTTGTTGGCAATCCTCACTGTTAAGCAAGCTGATGCCTCTGATTTCATATCTTTAATTCAAAGGTGCTTTGTTTTATGAATAGTTCATTTTCTTTATATCAAATATATGTATGTTTGTAAGTGCTTGTTCATGTTTCTAGTGCATAGAAGATCATCATTAGGTTATTTAAACTTTAAAAGGATCATTCAGTAGAATTTAAAAATTTTATGTGAATAAGTGCCTTTTATAATTAATCTAGCACAGTAGTGTACAGTGAAAAGAAATGGTATATTTTAATGGAAACTTTAAATGTTATTGCTGGCAGCAAACATTTTGTCCTGAGCCTATAAACTCATCCTTGGGATGTGTTAAGATAATGTCCTCAAATTAAGGACAGGCTTAAAATCTTTAAAATATACAGCTGTATTCATTTTTTTGGGGGGGGGAATGAGAAATTTGATATATTGCACATTATTGTGCATTACAAAATAAAATTTTATTCTTACATGCATGCAGTGATATCTTAGATCTGAAATATTCTAGCTTAAGAGCATAAACTGTGATTGTGCTGTTTCATAATTTGAGTAGGTGTGGTAGCTAGTTTGATTCTAAATATAATTAAATTGAAGGGATTTTGAAAGCTGTTGATGAGTAGAATACATGTACAAATAGGCTTTATTGAGCATTCTTTTGCTTGTATTCATTATTAATTGGTAGGCATTGCTGCAGTTATTCTGTAGATTATAAAAATGGCCTCAAGAAAAAGATTTTATTGAAATACAGTGTATTATTGGCCAGAAAGAAATGGTTCAGAGTATTCTAACTGGTGTGATTAATAATTTGATATTGGTGTGTGAGGAACTTAAAATTCTGTTTAAAAAAAAAAAGTCTTCCAAAAGTTTCTATTGTAAAATTATCACTAAGCCTCGGTACCTATAAAAGGCAATAAAATTATTTCTCATTGACAGACATTACATTAACATATTAGAAACATAAATTTGAAGAATACATACTCGATTAAACTAGAAAATTTATAGTTCCCATGTTTAATTATAAAATTATTCAAGAATTTTCTTGTATACATTTATTCATCATCACCAGTTTTATCTGTTGCTTTTAAATTTTGTGTATCACTTGGAGAATTTTTTTTTTTTTTTTTTTTTTTCCTTTCCTGTGTGAATAGTTACCGCATCATGCTGACATTACTGTTATAGTTTTATCAGTTGATAGAAAATACGATTTAAATTGCTTTTATTATTTTGTAATATTTGAAATTTTAAAATAAATTAACTGATATTTATTTGTCTTCATTAATGTTAGACATTTGGTTTGACTGGATTTTCAAGCAGGAAAATTTGTTTTACATGCTGCAATTAGAATACTATTTTATTTTTAGATACTAGAGATGTATTTTTTCAGTTTTCATGTTTAAAAGTAGCGTTTTATCATGAACTTTCCGGTGTTTAACATGAGAACTTGGAATAATTGCAGTTATTTAGTCTAGCAAGTGTAAAAATGTCAGTGAGTGTTTGTTATTCATGTAAATGCACAGATTTTATAAATACAGATTTTCTTTTTGTTTTTATTTCTTAGCTAATCTTTGAAACTAGTGAATTGAATGTCATTTTTAGCAAATATTTCTCCTTTTGGGGGGGGGAATACTGAATTTTTTCCCTTTAATTATTTCAACTTTTTCCCTTTTTTGGAAGGAACATTGTTATTCTGTTCATCCCCCCCTTTTTTTTTATATTAATTCACTTGAGGAGACTTTCAATTTACATGCGTGAATTATTATGCACTCGTACTTTTAAAAACTGTTTTTCTACCCCCTTCCCTGGAATCCAAACTCAGATTTCTTAGTTAAGTTTAATACTACAAAAAAGCTTAGTTAAAGAAAATAATTTTGCCTTGTTGCTACTTTTATACAGAACTAGTAACATGCTTAAGTGACAATTAAAAAAGCCCTCTTCTTTATAATTTGTATATCCAGACTTTTAAGCAATATAATAAATACTGCTATTCTGTGGTTGATTTTTAATTTTGAAGATATATATAATGGTGATTTATGCAATTATCAATCAGAATATAGGAAATTCTGATAAAAAGATGGTTAAAAATATTTCTTTGCCTAATGAAATATATTATAATGTTAGTTTTTGAAAACTTTAAAAATATATTATTATATTATAGTTCTATTATACTTTTATTATTTACAGGTGGCATTATATAAAATAGTCGAGCATTCATTTTTTTTAAGCTGAAAGTTTTAGTGTAAATATTTAAAAAATTGAAATCTAAGAAGAGAGAAGTATTGTTAAATATATTTTGTAATGAGCACATAATAAAAAATGTAAATATGTGTATGATATGATTCAGTACTTTATAATTATCAAGATGAAGAATTTAATCACTGATTGTTAAATTTTAAAATATTTAGAATTCAAGTATCAATGTTTAACAGATTTATGAATCTTGTTATTTAGAAATGCATGAAATTCATACAGTGAGCAACAGAATTTATTTTCATTAGCAGTCTTAATTTCATAGCATTTGCTGGATTTACTTTTTTGAAGAATGTCTGTTATAAAAAAACAGTTTTAGTATCAATAAGCATATTTTAATTAAAAATGTATGTATAAATAGTAAGATTATCCGACAATGACTGTTTCAGTCATTCTCATATACAATGCGAAGTCTAAATCCAGAATTCTAAACCTGCATTAAAGTGGATCAGATTTATACAATGATTTTGATAATATGAAAAATGTTTTCTATTTTATCATTTGATCTGAGTGAAATTAGATTTATTTAATAAGAATTTTATCATCCTTCACTTAATAAAATGCAGTGTTTGAGTAATATTCATGCAAGTTTGCAATTTCTTTGACACCAATGATGGGTTTAATGTTTTATATTTTTTGCCTTTTTTTATAATAATCTGATTTTAAATTACCACTAATTTTTATTAACATATACATTCAAAACGTCAAAGTGAACAACGTAATGTCAACTAGTAAAACTAGTTGATATTAATTGGTTAGTATTTCTGTCGGTGAAAGTGTGAAAAAAATTCACTGAACACTTTTAAGTGATGTTTCTGAAAATTGTGTTGTTTACTATATCTCCTAGCCTGTAATAATACAGTGATCCATTATCATTAGATTATTTTAAGACAGTGATAAATTTTAACTCCCCCAGAAGTAGCAAAGCTAATTTCATTTCTGGTATGCATTGTTGATGCAGGAATGAATTACATTTATCAAGTACCATTTAAACTATAAAAAGTGATTCATGATATTGTCTTAACTTTGTATCAGAATCAAAATAAAATAAAAAATATGGGATCTAATATCTGTAAAACTTTATTGCATAGAATTTTCGTAAAAAAAATACATTTGAATATTCCTAAGCTGTACTTTTTCCCTTGTTTTATTGAAGACAAATATGAAAACTTTGTAAAATTTTTTAATTATAGTTCAGAAATGAAAAATAAAAATATGTGTATCATTAGCATTTTTATTTAAGATGAAATTTAAACAAAACTTAATTTGTTAATTTTTGTAACAGAAACTTGTGAAAGCTTAGCTGTTATGAAATTGATCTCAAAACATTGTGTCATGGTACCTAATTCTGAGGTAACTGATAATGAAATAGAGTATTTTAATGAAGTTCAGAATTTAGTATATTGTGTTTGGTTTTATAATAGCCTCTTATTTTAGGTATAACAGTTATTTAAATGTTTGCAAAATATCAATGCTGATAATAAATTTTTATAAAAAAAGTCATGGTGTCTTTTTCAAAATTCCTGTGTATTGTAATTAATCTGAATATTAGAATAATTTACACTTATTGAGCGACTGTGCAAAAAACTAAAAGAGCAATAAACAATTAGTTTCAGAACTGGGACCAGTATAAAAAAAATAAATGTTAAAAGAAATCCTATCAGACTATTTTTTAATTGTTTTATCATAAATTTTTATTCAACAAAATTCTAAAAATACATAAACATGTATAAACTAAATTATCTTTCACCTAAACTGATAGCTCAAGATAATAAAAGCTGTCCAGAAAAACATACAGGTAAACTTATTTATTTAATTGCATTTTTCTTTTTAAGTAAGTTTTGTGCAATCTTCTCATATACATGTTATCATGCTAATTCACATTTTCCCATTGATTATAAAACGGTTTGGAAATCTAAATAATCCATAAAATAAAGGCCGATTAAATCATCAATTTAGTGAAGGTACTAGCTTCACACTAATGTACTTTTATTTTACACACACATAAGTATAATAATAATTTTTAACATATTAGAACATCGGCAGAATAATCTGCTGACAATACCACACATTCCTCTCTTGACCATCACATCCACTCAAGTGTTCCTTTTTGGTGAAGTTCTTCAGTGGCATCTTTCACTTTCTGGGCTCTCTCGTTTTTTTTTTTTTTTTTTTTTTTTGGGGGGGGGAGGGGATATAATCTCGCAGGGAAAGATACTGTTCTGATTTTGTTTAAAAAAAAAGTAATTATAACTATGTTTCCAATAACTAAGGAAATGACAAAGTTTAAGAATGGCCTTAAGAATTTTTGTAAATATAACTTTTGAGACACATATTTTTTAGTTAAATTTTTTATTCATTTGTGAATCCCTACTAAAGAAAATGAGACAACAAAAGAAAAATTTATCAGCACAAAAGTGCGTAGGTGGCTGCAGAATGTTTTTTTGAACATGTGTAATTGAATTATTGTGTAGGATTATGCTGAAATGTTTTTCAGGTGGTTGGAAAAAATGGGCTTTGTTTTCATCACTGTAAACAAGACTGGTGATGCCACAAAGTGGGAATGTAGAGGTATGCTTATTGCATAATTGACATGAAATGTCATACTGAAAATATATTCTACTAGAATATTATTTAAAAAACTTGTTTGTTGTTTTATAGTCATAAATACCATGTTTCATTTGATTGTTTAATGCATCATAAGGTCCTTTAATGGTGAGATCGCATGTGCTTTGCCAGAGTGTACATATTCTGTTATGCATTCTGATATTTTTTTTATTGGATATAGGATAGACTGAGTGGAGGGTTTTGTGAACAGATTTATTTAAAATATTGGCAGTGTCATTAATGACTTTCATTAGAATTTTTTTCATTATTAAATTTCTGAATGTTGTAAACTATTTAGTTGGTGGTAGACTTAATTTTATTTGTAAATTTTTTCCAATTGCGAATGTTAATGCTTTGATAGGTTGGTGATAAAAAGCAATGTTGTTCTATGTACAACAAAGACTTGATCAGGTGAAAGTGCTGAAAGGACTAAAGTTAAATATTTATATGCAATATTTCAAGCAGAAAAAGTATAATGTGCAAGTTCAGTTGATTTGATGTTATTGACAATGTTTAGTTTGTACGAAGTCAAAAAATTTTCTACCTGTGTAATTAGCACAACCAGAATTCCAAAGACTGGCATTGGATATTGCTAGCATATAAATGTTTGCTAGAGTAATAGTCCTGTTGTTTGGAAAATAACTGTGCTTTCAGACAGATGTGTATTGTTATTTAAATTATAGTGAAGAATATTTAAAGTGATGGGCCAATGTCTCTCTTTCCTATAAACTTCACAATTTGAAAGATGTATTCAAATTCATTTCTTGAATGAAGATGGTACCTGGATCTATCTTCAATAACATCAGTAAGTTTTTTTTTTACCTAGTATTCCAAGATGTGATAGACATATGTATGTTCGTGCTGTATTTAAGGAAATTAGACATGTTCAGGTAATTTTTTTTAGATCTGCTAGTATTCTGTATAGTTTTGAAATCAGTGGCAGATGTAATAATTTTCTAGATATTTTCTTTGGAAAGAAAATAAATCTGATGTTAAGGAGTTGATCTGCATCAGTGTTCCAGGAAAAATCTGGAATTATTGACTGTAATTATCATCATTTACTAGAATTTGCATACTATTTGTAGTCCAAAAATTGATGATCAAAAGTACACTGTAAATAATCTATCTTTTATAGTGTTTGAAGGTGAGTTATTCTGCAACATCGTGTATAGTTTGCTTGGTGAGTTTTAAAAACAGTGAGCATATTTTACTTGTTGATCTCTCTATATTGATTTGACAAATTACTTCTGCACAGGACACAAACTGGATTGAGTGTGCAGTAGAAAGAAATATGATGAAATTTCTATCAACAAAAACAGTGTGCTGGCCCAAGCCTTTGTTTTGGAGCTTCAGTTTTGATTCAAGTAACTCCATGAGATGAAAGTTCTCCCCCCCCCCATATGTGGGCAGTATTAAAATTAAGAGATGTCAAATAATTGTGTCTACAATTAATTAACTGTATCATTTAAGTAGGTTCAAATCCAACACTAAGATTGTGAATAATTTCTTTGGGATTTTGCTGTCTCACAGAACTCTTACAACTTAGGCATCTTATCAGAGAATTCACAGATACGTGACTCCTGGTTTATTTATGCAGAGTTGCATAAAAGTTGGTTTGGTTTTTTAACATTATCTGTAGTCGTACATTTCTGAAGTGAAGGAACTAGTGTCACAGAGTGCTTGGCTGAGAGATAATTTAATGTTTCTTGCATCTCAGTTTCAGTTTCTTCAGGTTTTAGGTCTTGAAATAAGAATAGATTGCTTAGCC